ACACAGAAATTATTAATTTAATCATTAAATTCAGCACCTCGCAGCACTCCTACAGCACTTATGACACAGAAACTATCAATTTCAGCACCTCGCAACACTCCTACAGCACTTATGGCACAGGAACTATGCACAAAAACTATCAATTTCAGCACCTCGTAGCACTCCTACAACATTTATGACACTCCAAATCATTAAATTCAACACCTCGCAACACTCCTACAGTGATTGGCAATCTTAAACAGCATTTAGATGGAACACAACATCCTCCAAAACAATGATAAACCATCCCGAAATGGTACATCCCGAAACGGCATCCCGAAACGGTACATTAAAAGACTCCCAGAAAACTGCAGCGAAAAATCCTCCAAATCACCTCAAAACATGTGTTCTAAATCACCTCAAAAACAACTAACATATATTTTAAATAACTGAAAATAATTCCGTCAAGCTATGAAGCCTCAGATCAGTTTAAAGCAGTCAATCACTGTTAAGGATAACACCAACAATTACTAATGATAATGTTGAAAACTAAATAGAATCGAGTACAGGCAATTTCCATTATGCAAGGTTCCAAGTGGATGGCAAAACGTCAATCTTGATTTCTATGAATGAAATAAGGAGATAAAGAGGGTGGAAGACTTTTTTTTTTATTGAGAAGCTTCTTTAAAAGGAATGGAGCAAGTAATCTGTGTTTCACATCGAATTCGATTATACAGATAAAGTTTCGCATGAAATTCAATTTTAAAGATCAAGAACATCCATGATCAAGAAATGTAAATGAAATCAAACATCATTCACATCTCTAATAACCTTATGCTTCCCTTAATCCCATCCATCTAGAGGAATCTGAATCCCACCAAAGTCAAGAAAAGCCCACCAAAGTCAAGAAAAGAAAGTCAAGAAAAGCATCCCACTGGAAAACTTCACAATTCCATCACATAAACACACTACTAAATTTTAATTAGATCAAGAAGCCTTTAAGAAAGAACAGAAAGACAAGAGAATTAAAAAAAAAAAAAAATACCTGACAAATCGAAAGGAGTTGTAGCTGTGTGAGGAGGAGGATACGAGCAGCCTCCGAGCAGCCTCAGTCGTCAGTCGAACGAGGAAGAGAGACCGATGAATCCCGAGTGCGAGGAGACCAGCGAGGGAGTTGCAGAGAGGTGCTTCAAGGAGGAGCGGCGGATCTGTCTGCAGAAGAGGAGCTAGGGCTTCGGTGAGGGAGACAAATCGAGCGGATTTCTGTCGCGTTCGAGAGGGAGGAGCGGACGATCGTGCGGGAGGCGGGCACTCGAGCGGGAAGCGGGATCGAGCGGCTCGTCTGTCGTGCATGAGAGGGAGGAG